GTTTGGTCAGCTCTCGAGAAGCCCGAAATCACCTGCACAGGCAACCGTCGCCGTTTGCGCGAGCGCGTAAGCCGCCTCGTAATCTCCGCCGCCAAAAGCCGTCCGAACGGGATCGGTACTTCACATCCGATCCGTTTACCGATGCGATTATATTGATCGACCGTATGCCCGTATGGTCGTATCAGGCCGGATCCCTAAGCGCAAAAACTCCGCGCGGATCTACGCTCGTTTCGAAACGAAAATGTGATTTCCCCGGACTTACAGGGACAGTGTATTATGCTCAAAAGGTAGGAGAGAGAGAGAGAGAGAGAGTGCGCTTTTTTCCATTCGGAGCTAATCTCGTGTAACTCCCTTCCGATGTCCTCTCTGAAGCAGGTCCCGCGCGCGCGAGTAAACTCGTAATTAAAATCGTACTCGGTCGTTCGCGTGTATTTCTTCGCCGATTGGACACGAACACGTTCTGCGAGAATTTCAGCTGACGCGGAGGATCCTTCTTCTCGTTATATACATCTACCTGGTCTCCTTCCTGAAGATCCTCTTATCCGCCTTTTATCTGCAAATCGTATCACAAGGCAGATTGTTCTTGGGTGATTCATCGATAGATTGGACTTTGGCTTTGAATTATTGATTATTTAAGTCTACATTATGACATAAACAAATACGTGTGTATCATGAAGAATCTGAAAAAAAAAATATAAGAGAGGAGAAGAATTTCAGTAAAATAATAGACGACAGATTTCGATGTTTCCACGGGGAATACATCAAACGCATGTAATAATTATTATTAAGCTCGCGGCGCGATTACGTTAGGTAATATTTCCACGTACTGTACAAAGAGCTTCCTCTCTCTCTCTCTCTCTTGTCACTCGGGTGGCATTCGAAGGGGAGTAAGGCAGAGCCCGAAACTCTACGCTCGAAATCATTCCAAGTTACCCGTGTACCGTGAAGGGTGTCGGGTGGCGGAGTAAGATCCCGATTACGTTCTACCTTGCTCCGGCTCGTCGGCGAGATTCCTCCGACAGTTGTAGCTTCGGGAACGTCTACGCCCTTCTCTCGTAAGCCCGCGATCTCGCCTACGGTGGACTAGGTTGAGATAAGAGAGGGAAAGGAAAAGGGAGAGACAGAACGACCGTAAAGAGGGTCTTTTTGAAGCGTAAGGATAGCGAATTTTCGTCTGGATTCCGTTCGTCCAGATTCACGTCGATGCGTCTCCCCAGCGAAAACAAGACGTTACCGGAAATTGCGGCCGCTGTTCTTTCTTCGCGAAATTGCGAAATTGCGACATTACATCGGAAATCCTCCGAGTTTTGCGGCGAATATGATAGCATTCGCAGCACACACGCGCACGAGTCAACACGTATATACATATATAATATGCCGTCCTCGATTCTGTGCAATCAAGTGTATGTGTGTGTGTGTGTGTGTGTGTATTGTACATTGCCGGGGTGCATTAATTAAATACATTCCTCTCTCCAGCGGCGCTTTAACCGACCGAATGTCCAGCACCTTTGATTGTCCACGGAGTTGTCCTATTGAAACGGTCTCTCTGTCGCGCGAAACCGACCTCGTGGGCGGGTGAGAGTTGTTTTGATGAAGCCGCCGTCCGAATTCATTAACGCGGCATTAACGGTGTGTTTCGTCCACTTCTCCCGTGGACGACGTTGCGAGTGACCGGCCGCTGATTTTCGTGCTAACGCACGAACGCCGAGCTTTCGGACGGGCATTACTCGCGATTGTCGAGGATTGTTCGAGCTCGAACTATATACTCGACGTACGAGGCTACGTTTCGCATGCTCTTTCACGTTCGCGTGCCTCTCACTACATGCCGGATTATAGGTATTATTTCTCGCGTCGGTTCGCGTTTAAGATTACTCGCCGATCGATACGGCACGTATATGTTACTTACGGCGAGCATGTATCCGCACACGTTTAACATGTGATTTCTCGCAGAAACATTGCGCTTTCAAGTCCAAGATGCTATCTCTCGCGCTGCGAGAAGTCGAAATATTTCACGAGACGAAGATAACAGAAGCGATTTCACGATTTCACGATAAAACAGACACGGAGCAGCGAGGACGCGTAACGCATTAACAAGGAACAATGAATACTTTATCGCGAGAATTTAAATAAGGAACCGGGCACACGGATCAGACTGAACTGTTTTCGTTCAAACTACTATGCGAGAATACGAAACGCCGGAGCAAGCCGTCGGTTGATCTTTATACCTCCGGTAGCGAGAGCGAGAGATCGAAGGAAGAGAGACGGAGTAAAGAAACCGGAGCAATTGCTCGATACGCCACAGCGTTTAATAAATGAAGGCGCACGAGGGAGAGGAAAAGGCGAACGAGGACGAGACTTGCCTTTATCTTTATTTCAGATGAAATCGTTTCGTTCCCGGGATCCGCGTTTGTATCGCGGCCCACCCTTACTTACGGGAACGGCACCTTTTCACGGCCGTTGGCGGACCTTGCTCTCATGGGGCGACGCCTAGGTCGATTAGGTGCATTATTAAATACGGTCAGAGACGCGATGGCAAGCGTTAACCGGGTATAACGAAGTAGATAGCGCTGCGGAAGTCGCTGAATATTCAGGCGCGCAACGAGAACACTATATTTCAGTGCCGTCTACAGACGTTTGTTCCGCGACTATAAGTTTCCAGTTAGAAACTTCCTCGGCAGAGCATAAAACCAATTTATACTCCAACAGCAAGTCCACAAAGAAATGGTTTAAGCGCGTCATCTTCGCGCGTCACACCGCAAAATCTCGTCTCGTCGTCAGATCGATTCTTTAAGCGTTCCTCGACATCGCTAAGTACCAAGTGTCGCCTGATATTCAGTGTTGCGCTTAGATCATTTTTAAATTGGCTAGATAAAGACGAGATGAAAATATGTAAATTTATCTTATTGATTAAATATAATGATGATGATTTTGTTTTAAATATTTATGTAAATACAGTTATATAAAAAAGTGTAAATTATAATAGGGGTATAAAAATATATTCATATTTTTATTTATCAATTTTTATCACTTACTACTGCTTATTTTACTGTTTAAGTATTTTTATGTGCTATAACTCTGACTCAAATTATCCGAACATTATTAATTTAGTAAGATAACATTTTTTTGCAGCTGAAATGCAGATACGGATGATACAAATTTTTATCTATATAAAGATAAGATGACCAAAATTTGAGATCTAGATGATCATCTATATAATTTGATTTAGATAATAGCAAACACTGCTGATATTACACCCTCGGTAAAAACATGTATGTCTAAAATGAAAAAAGAAATAGCGTTTAAAAATATATAAGCTGTCACAGAGATATTATATAATATTGCTTGATAAATTCGACCTGGAGAGAATAAAGACCATATGTGTGAATAAAATAGTTATCGCGATTAATCTCGTTGGTCCTTTTTGCGGCGAGTAAAAACTCGTTAGGAGTCATGCGGGACAAGTCCGCGTTCCTCCGACGCTTTGAGTGCGGAGAACCATTAACCTGACACGTAAGTGGCGTTTTTCGTTCTATAGGATCGTAATTAAAAATTCTTGTGTAGTTTGAAAGTGGATTCATACGGAAGTTCAGGCGCGCTGGCGGGCCAAAGTTCCTTGCTCGCTTGCGAATCGTGGCAGTGACGGCTACTCGCAGCCATTGAACTAAATGATCATTAATTGCGAACTCCGGGTACATTATGCGAATTACTTGAGCGACAGTCATGTCTCTAATATTAAGTTTCTTCGTAGAAGAATGCAGGCATCTCTCTTGCTCAATTATAACTTCTGGAGAAACTTGCTTATTAGTGATAAGAAAAATTCTGATTTATCTTACAATCATTTTATACGTTGATATTTCTATTGTTTGATAATCTTTCTTATGATGAAGTTCTCATCTTTGTGAGTTTGAAGAGACGGAACTTAATTTTTAGATTAGTCTCATATAAAACTTTTTATATATGTATATATTTAAATTAGAAGAAAAATAATTCGATACACCTTTTCGATATAAATGTTTCTAAGCAAGAACGTGTCAAATATGTCTTTATTTTATTTCACATCAAGATTCTCGTTGCACACATACACATGCATGAATCATTACGCATGAGTTATCGTTACGTTTGCGCTTTAATTGTTTCACTTGTGATAATGATTTGAGGCAATAATTAAAATTATATATACATAACTGTGTATCTTGATATGATGTAATTTCAATTTGATATATGTTCAGAATTGTGATGGCGCGCGATGTAGCCAAATTCAATCATACCATGCAGCATCACTTCGCCACTACGGGCTCGTTATCGTATCATCATCGTCGGTAACGAGCTCGTATCGTCATTACGTTCATTGATTTGCGAACCGTGATTCGTTGTATTGTTAGATTCGAGATATCCTCGGAAATACAGGTAATAAATAATTGCTCGTCTTTGTTATCTTACTGTTAAGACTCATTATGCTTTTAACCGTATAATGCGAGACGTAGTTCGATGAGTTCTAAAAACTTTATTGAATATTTAATTTATTAAAATGAATTAATAACAGCATTACAAATGAAAATCTGCGAAACGAAATAATTAATTGATTTCATCAAATAAAATATGCATCACTAAAATAAACTTGTCAATCATCATTTTTTCTTTTTCCGTCTCTTAATAATTTATTAAACGTCACATATTTTTATATTCCAAGTCAATTTAGCAACTGTTATATAACTTACGTTCGACATTAAAGAGAAATGTCGTCGCTTGCCCGATTTGGCCTAAAGTTTCGATCATTTGGACAGTTTTTTGGGATGATGTACCGGGGTACCGGCAGGTAAACCATCGGGTAAACAACGTGACGTCAGTAGAGTCCAAGGTTGAGCAGGTGCCGGCGAATGGGCAAGAAGAAGAAAGGGAAGGCGCACGCGACGGTGCAGGCAGAAGGGAAAGCCCCGGGGGTGGCTCGTGCGCGGGCGCGGCTTTGCGGGTCAGAGTGCGTCGGGTATATAACCGGGCGGATGCCGTCGTCCCTTAGTCTCGCGCTTATCGTCGCCGCGACGACCCGTCCGACCTCGACACCCCCGACGCCGATCGTCGTGATCTGTCTGTGATTTCGATGACGTTGTGCGGTGCGTACCGATCTGCACGTCGTGTCGATCGGCAAAATGCGCGATAACAGATGACAGATCGTCGGGAGGTATCCGCGTTGATTCCATCGCTAATTCGTCATCGTAACTTTAACTTTCGATGATACGATCGATCAGTGGAAAAATATTTTTATTTTTACAATTTTTGCATTCAAGCGTCTTTGACACACATGCTCTATCACGCGATCACAATTAAAAGTTTTAATAAAAGGTAGAGCAGTCACGCAGAAAGAAAGACCGTAGATGGTATAGAGATACTGGATATTTCAAATAGAGTATTGCGATAAATTCAAATGATTGAGGGGCTATCGAATACCTATAATTAAAACTTGTTCACACTTTCTATCTCACAAAATTCTTTCGATTGTTGAAGAACCGTTCGCCAATCATCACTGGAGGCATTTGAGAACGTTTGACATTTCGTTCGAGTCTCATCTCACCGGAGGCAAATCTGCGAGAATCCGTGAGATCGTTGAGGCATCGAAAGTCGGAATCCTGGGTCGCGCAGACCAAGCGGGAAGGAAAATTATCGCGATACTTGTCCAGAGATTGGACTCGACGGTGCAAAAGGTGAAGCCGGAGGAAGACGAGGAACAAGAAAAAAGCGGCCAAGCGGTAGCGACGCCGGAAAAAGGGATAGAAAAGCGCGCGGCGGTGAAGGAGAAACAGGGGGTTGGCGGGAAGTGAAGGCGCTGCCGCGGAGGATTTCAAGCCGTGCCCCCGGCGAGATAGGAGCCGCTTGTATAGATATATATGCAGAGTAAAATTGTGGCGACGTAGGAGTTCTCGCTACGAGTATCTGGGTCATACAGCCGTCCTCTCGACGTTGTAACCTGTTCTCCATAATTCTATGAAATTCTCTCGGTGCTGCAACAAAGTGGAGCATCCATTGACGACTTGAAGGACTTCTCGCTCTTAAGTTACTTGAGAAGCACGCCAAACTAGGACGATAAAAAGCGAAATGCAATTAATACGCTAAATATTGAATAAGGGTACACGAACAAGAGGAATACGAGATAAGAGTAGCGGAACAGATGCATAATCGCATTTCGTGCTTGCGTAATCGAAACGAGAAGATTGATTCGAGATGGAATAACAATGCGCATATACGCGAATATGCGAAATATCGGTGTTGCTCGCGTATTGCTCCGAAATGAAACCGGAGCTTGCAAAACCATCGATGTAATGTCACTTAAATCGCGCGTTAAGTGAGCTATAAATATAAATCGCGTTTCCCTACGCCGGGAGAATCCGTAATGATCCGTGCGAATCAGTGATTTGCGGCACGATACTGGTCGCGTGCGCGATAACGAGCTGTTACGTCGTTACGTGGTTACGTAAAAAGAAATCCACTTGGGTTCCCCATAGAGACAATTTTCGAGGAAAGTCCAAGGGCTATTATCCGAGTCGTGTAGCGAGTGGTTCGCGCGCGCAAAACTCGCTACTACCCTTCATCTAGGACACGGTCGGACTCGATAAATAATGAACCCTCGCAGTCATTTATCAAGCTCACCGCGAGACGAACGAACGCTCGGGGTATCGTCGAGGACGGTCTAAATGGGAGAATCCAACGCGAGGCACCGGCTAGCACCGCAAGATACCGCGTTGTATTGCCGCGAGGGTTACGCAGAAATCATGTCCCTCTGACTATCCGATCGAGAGCTTAACTCGAGAAAGGCCAATCTGCCATTCTTATCGACGAAATAAAAGAACCGTGAAATGTGCGTCGCGATCAAAGTGGTAGCGACCCTTAAACGTCGAGGAGACACGACAGGTCTTCTCGATCGTGTCTAAAACTCTCTATCCTCCCCCGAGCGTTCGTCTTAGAAATGCGAGAATCAGCTGATTCCGATCAGTGTAGCAACACCGGGCAGTGCGATAAAATTCCGCGCAGGAGATAACGGCGACCGAAAACTCGCGACTTGATGACAGTGATCGCGCTTCGGGCTTCGCGATTCAAACGAACGTGAGTGGTATCGAGCAACGCCGAGGCAACAACATGAGGCGACGAAACAACGGTACCTCCTGCTTCTGCCAGACGTCGGCGAAGAGAGGCTTGCGTGGGGGATGCAACGGGACTGAGGCGAACGAGCCACCCGGATGGTGCATCTACGCGGCGGTTGCGCTCGTCGCGGTCGGTTGCTATCTCAATGCGCTCGACTGCGATTTTGTGCACGACGATATACCGGCGGTGGTGAGGAACAGGGATGTGATCGGCGAGGCGTCGTGGAGCAGCGTGCTCAACGACGATTTCTGGGGCACGCCGATGGAGAGCATCAACAGTCACAAGAGTTATCGACCATTCACCACTCTGACGTTTCGGTGAGTCAATATTTCTCTCCGTCACGTTTATCGAGCTCTTAGCTATAGGACAATTCGCGAAACTTTTGCCCGATGATCGATTTGCTTCGATGCTGCCATTCAATGCGCGGTGACATTTAAGATCACTGTAGAAACTACTGCGGGTACATCGCGCGACAAGAAATCGAATCGCTGTCGCGCGAAATTATAGATTCATTTGAGAACGTAAATAACCGCTGTGAAATGGATAAATGCCGTGTCGTGTCTTTTTACAAATATTATCGCGTTCTTTTATACGTGTCATTTATCTTCTCTTTTTCCCTACATTTTGTTTGTCAAACTCTGACCTCTTAGAACAATCTGTTAAACAGAAAAGTGAATACAATTCGGTGCACGACCATTCCGGATAAAATAAGACAGCAAAAACTTGTCTCGAGAAACGTGTCTGGTTGCCTGACGTTCCAAACACATGGCACGACCACGTAGCTCGCAGCACCGGTATTCGTTCTTACCAAGACATCGAGAGAATCGCGTATGTACATGTACATATATATATATATATATATATATATGTATATAATATATATATATATATATATATATATATATACCTGTACATATAGGTATAACCCTGCAATCGGAGATGCACCTTATGGTAGTACTAGGAAGAACGGCAAGAACCGTTCTCTGACCACGACGGAGGCGACCGAGCATACGATAGTGTGTGCAGCAGCGTGTCGTGTAGAGCACACGAAACTTCCACTCCCTTCGCTCATCCTCCCTGTCCATCCACCCTTCCTTCCCTCCTCCCCGCGTCCGCTCTACCGCCGATTTGATGCATGGATACCAGTTTGCCACTCCACGTGCAATACTGCATATTGGCTGGTATTGGACGATCCATCACGCCGCAAGACACCGGCACATCGCTCATCCACCCTTAACGCTCCAGATGCTGTTGCCAACTTCGACGAGGTGTGCGGCTGCGGAACGTGCTACGCGGAAGAACCTGGTTGAGAGGGAGGGGACCGAGAGCATAACGCCTTCACGTTTCGCGCGTTATCGGAAGTGGAACGCATCCATAATCCTTGGGCGGATGCGAGGACGCCGGCGCCGCGGCGCGCCGCTAACCGCATTCGTCTCGTCGGGAAGACGAGCCTTTAACGATCCAAATCGCCACTGACGCGCGAGGCTGCCTTTATATCGCGCGCCCGAGACGATACCCCGGTATCTCTCATTGTTGCCGCTAAGCGATTCGAGTGGCGGAGTAATTTATGCACGTGCGAAAATGCACCATTTACGTTGACACGCAGTTAAAAGGATAAGCGAAGATTTATGTGTTAGTCGTTTAAGGCGACAGAGGTGCCTATTGAGAGACGCTTGATACATTGTATGTACTTTTATCCCCTATTTCATGCACAACGCGTGTATATATATTTTTATCTCATTTAATAATCTATTCTAGCATTTTATTGCGCCTGCGAATAAAAAGTTGCACATATATATATATATAAATATAAAGCACTTGTCACAAAAGAATCGAACTTGAGTATGCTGGATTTCCTTTGACCGATAGCTCGTTTCGAAATTTCTTCTTTGCGCGGACAATCAGACTTCGAGTTACCAGTACACCGGGTGAAAAGCTTTGGACAATCGCACGTCTCTTCTGCGAGTGTGCATGTGTGTTTCATTCTCCGTCCTTTCCAGAGACACGGCGTCTCTCTTTTCGTTGCCCAGTTTCTTTATTGCTGCGAAACTCTCTGAACGGCGCTCGTTGTGTGTCGCTTTGAGGATTCGAGTTCTCGGATGAAAACGCACCGGGACGACCCCGAAAGTCCAGAGCGCACTCGTGGCAGTTGACCCGATACCTTTCGCACACTCTCGCTCTAAAGTTTCCTCGAATCGGTCATCGTATTCCGCCGCGCGTTTGCGTATAAGTCTCATCATCGATTATCACCGTGTACAAGCTAGCTACGTCCGGTAATCTGGTACTCAACATACATGGCATATATCATTTTATAGATCTCAAACTCCACGATCGTTCCATCACTTCTGTATTTAATTCTCCGTTTGATCGCTTCGTTTTTGACGCGACGGGTGCTAATTGAGATGATATCAGCTGCGCGAACGTTGTATACCTTATCGCAAAAGGGTATTTGAAAAGCAGTTACCCACGGTTATTTGCAGTTCGGAGAATCGCGTGGGCACGTATTTGATAGGAAAAATGGGATTTCATGCAGGTTGTACGTATTTCAGCTACTTCGTTTCGCCCGGAAATAATTTACGGGTGCGGTCGAGCGTGAGTCTTTGCCCCGGCGGCGGCGTCGAATGAATAACGCAGAAAGCTCACCGAGCGATTCGTTTCCACGTTTTCGAGAGAGCGAACTTTACGAGAGAGAGTTGGCGACTATGTTAGATTATTACGGCCGCAAATAGAAACTGACCGTGGAGTCGCGGACGCTAGAGCTATAGCTCGATAAAGCACAAAGAGTGGATAAAATCAAATAACCCCTTATTACTGTTGAGGTTCAGAGAATGTACAGGTGTCCAATAATACGCGGCACTCGCGTTTATCGAGTTTGCGCCAAAATAGACTGTTTTAATTCGCGGCTCGATATTTACGAAAAGCTATCAATATCAGCGTTTCGACGCTGGTATTCGCGCGAGCTATAACCGTCGCTCTTGATTAAAATTACAAAAAAATTAGAACGATTTGGATGTTAAATCGTGATGTGTATTTTTTCTTCATGTGTTGAAGTGCGATCCATTCAAGAACGATTATTAAATTTCTGCAAACATTAAATTTTCATTTATCTTTTAATTAACACGAATATATACCCTCTCACATTCATCGTGATATCGCGTTGTTTACGTCAATTTCATTAAGAGAAATCTTCTCGGCGTGACGGAATATTCACGGCTCTATTATGTTCTTCTCTAGCGGATTTGCCAACGCATCCCTCTGGTCTACTTTGATAATACGCATTATATTACATCCACATGCTCATCGAACCTTCCGCGTCTGTATAATGACGATCGATATAATCGCGTTCACTGCAAGTTGGAATTTATATTTGTTTCCTCGGAAAGATTGTTTTTTGTCTTATTGCGGTTAAAAAAATAGTGGATGCCTTGCGATCTAATTTGTAATGAAATTCTGCATTACTGCGAATCTTTGACAATTTTTACGCGATTATTAGCGATTTTAAAGCATTATTTAAATTTAATTGCTCTTAATTATATTTAAATACCTATTTAAAGACATTAAGTGATACCAATTAAAGGACTATCTTTATACAAATAAGGCTCGACCGATCGTTCATTTAAGATTTATTCGCAAACCGCTCGCTTTTACCGGCTCATTCGTAGAGTTGTTAGCATTTTACTGACGTTGCCAGTTAAATCACGATCAGCGACTAAGTCCGCTAAGCGTTAGCCGGTGATTTATGAGTCGGTCGACAGTGGCGATGGGCCACGTTTTGCGGCCGCTCTCTCTCTGTGAGGGAATAATTATTATTAAATTACTTAACTGGACACACACACACACACATGCGCGCGCGCATGGTGGAATCTCGTTCCACGACATTACTGACACGCATGAATGATTGCGTTGCAAACTCTAATTTAGACGCGTGATATAGCTTTACGTTGCGCAGCACGTACGCCTCGTATTCGATTATGTCGACCGTGATATTTCATTTAGTCTTGCAGTTAACCTTCGTCATTGACTCAGATATTGGGATACCTACCATGTACAGCTATCGCGTTCTTTTGCAAGAGAGAAATTATAAAGTTGCATATATATATATATATATATATATATCTATCTTCAATCTGATATTATCATATTTTGTTATTTCCATATCCAAGACATAAATATGCAAAATCCGATAATTTATATATAAAACTATTGTCTAATTATATCTTACATATTCTAAGCCTATGCAATAATGATGAGAATTTGCAGTAAAAGACATCGTCTATGTAATAAATAATTCATGAATGCAAGAAAATAAAGATTTCTATTTTTATTCTGTCTAATAATATGAATTATTGATTACTTTATTTTAAACAAAAGATTTACATTTTTTTACGAAGAGAAGCTCTAATTTTCGTGTCTCATATTTACATAATAATATCGATATCAAAATGATTATACTACAAATGTTATATTGCATGTTATGTAATTGATATACGAACAACGGAAAGAAATCGTGTAGATCTAAATGTATAAACACGAGGCTCGATGCACGCGCTCCGACGCTGCAATCGTGTTTTGGTATGAGTTCAAGAAAGAGATATCGCATCCGAGTGTACTTCCACTTCAAAAGTGGGCATTTCCACATTTAAGTGCATCGCGTTTCCTTCTGGCGTTCTTCGTTCATGGCGGATAGAGAATGGTTCTTCTCTCTGTTTTATTTGACTTATTCGGGCAGAACAGTTTTATGACCAAACTGTTTAGTTCAAGTATATCCGGAGATACGACAGGCTGTATACTTGCATATCGGTGCAAGGTGGGACATTCTAGTTTCAAATGCGTCAAGAATGCACAACTTTATGTATTTGTGAATATTCTTTCAACCCGAACATGACGAGGAACCTAAAGCACACATTTGTCTTCTTCGAGAAATACTACTTCCGTTTATTGGATCGGACTTTGACTTCTTATATACAGGCTACGTTATACATATACGATGATGAGATTTCGTAAATTCAGAAAAGAGAAAAGAAATTGACCATCGCGTTTTAAGTTTTACAAAGACATGATAATGATACCATAAATGTATATTTATTAAAAGTAATTTTTATATTCTTATAATATATTATAATATGTTATAAATTACAACGATATCTCTTATTTGAGTAAAATTTATACGCAATAAAAAATATTTGTCGAATATCTTATATTTTTATTTTCACTCGTAGAAATCTCACACAAAAATCCAAGCTTCATTAGGAGAATCATCTAATCCTTTTGCGTTCGCGAAGAAACTCGAATAGATAACTTGTTCGAATGTCTCGGC